GATAGAGTGCACTTGCTTTTAGTCAAACGTTTGTGGCGTGAAAATTACCGTTCGGACAGATAGACATCAGGCACGTTGATAGAGTGCACTTGCTTTTAGTCAAACGTTTGTGGCGTGAATGTTACCGTTCAGACAGATAGACACCAGACTCGTTGATAGAGTGCACTTGCTTCTAGTCTAACGTTTGTGGAAAAAATTACCGTTCGGACAGATAGACACCAGACTCGTTGATAGAGTGCACTTCTTTTAGTCAAACGTTTGTGGCGTGAAAATTACCCTTCGACAGATAGACACCAGACTCGTTGATAGAGTGCACTTGCTTTTAGTCTAACGTTTGTGGCGTGAAAATTACCGTTCGGACAGATAGACACCAGACTCGTTGATAGAGGTGCACTTGCTTCTAGTCTAACGTTTGTGGCGTGAAAATTACCCTTCGGTCAGATAGACACCAGACTCGTTGATAGAGTGCACTTGCTTTTAGTAGTCAAACGTTTGTGACGTGAATATTACCCTTCGGACAGATAGACGCAGACACGTTGATAGAGAGCGCACTTGCTTTTAGTCAAACGTTTGTGGCGTGAAAATTACCGTTCGGACAGATAGACACCAGACACGTTGATAGGTGCACTTGCTTTAGTCAAACGTTTGTGGCGAAAATTACCCCTTCGGTCAGATAGACACCAGAATCGTTGATAGAGTGCACTTACGAAGTCAAACGTTTTTGTGACGTGAAATTACCTTCGGACAGATAGACACCAGACTCGTTGATAGAGTGCACTTGTTCTAGTCAAACGTTTGTGGCGTGAAATTACCGTTCGGACAGATGAACACCAGACTCGTTGATAGAGTGCACTTGCTTCTAGTCCAACGTTTGTGGACGTGAAAATTACCCTTCGGACAGATAGACACCAGACTCGTTGATAGAAAGTGCACTTGCTTCTAGTCAAACGTTTGTGGCGTGAAAATTTACCCTTCGGACAGATAGACACCAGACACGTTGATAGAGTGCACTTGCTTCTAGTCAAACGTTTGTGACGTGAAAATTACCGTTCGGACAGATAGACACCAGACTTCGTTGATAGAGTGCACTTTCTTTTAGTCAAACGTTTGTTGGCGTGAAAATTACCCTTCGGACAGATAGACACCAGACACGTTGATAGAGGGCACTTGCTTAGTCTAACGTTTGTATGCGAAAAATTACCGTTCAGATAGACATCAGACTCGTTGATAGAGTGCACTTTTAACGTCAAACGTTTGTTCGCAGATAGACACCAGACTATAGAGTGCACCGTTCCGATAGTTGATAAGTGCAATTGCTTTTAGTCAAACGTTTGTGGCGAAAATTACCATTCGACAGATAGACACCAGACTCGTTGATAGAGTGCACTTGCTTCTAGTCTAACGTTTGTGGCGTGAAAATTACCGTTCGGACAGATAGACACCAGACACGTTGATAGAGTGCACTTGCTTTTAGTCAAACGTTTGTGGCGTGAAAATTACCGTTCCGGACAGATAGACACCAGACTCGTTGATAGGAGTGCACTTTGCTTCTAGTCTACGTTTGTCGTGAAATTACCGTTCGGACAGATAGACACCAGACTCGTTGATAGAGTGCACTTTTCTAGTCAAACGTTTGTGGTGAAAATTACCGTTCGGACAGATAGACACCAGACTCGTTGATAGAGTGCCTTTTGAACACTGCGGCGTATGAATCACCCTTCAGTCAGATAGACGACACGTGATAGGCACTTGTTTTAGTCAAACGTTTGTGGCGTGAAAACTGTTCGGACAGATAGACACCAGACACGTTGATAGAGTGCACTTGCTTTTAGTCAAACGTTTGTGACGTGAAAATTACTGTTCGACAGATAGACACCAGACTCATTGATAGAGAACTTGCTTTTTAGTCAAACGTTTGTGGCGTGAAAATTACCCTTCGGTCAGATAGACACCAGACACGTTGATAGAGTGCACTTGCTTTTAGTCAAACGTTTGTGACGGAAATTGCCGTTCGGACAGATAGACAGACACGTTGATAGACACTTGCTTTTAGTCTCAAACGTTTGATAACGTTCGGACAGATAGACACTTTGATAGAGGTGCACTTGCTTTTAGTCAAACGTTTGTGGCGTGAAAATTACCGTTCGGACAGATAGACACCAGACTCGTTGATAGAGTGCACTTGTTTTCAAATGTTTGTGGCGTGAAACCTTCGTTTGTTGATAGGTGCGTTTTGAAAATTACCGTTCGGACAGATAGACACCGAACACGTTGATAGAGTGCACTTCTGCTTTTAGTCAAACGTTTGTGACGAAAATTACCTTCAGGACAGATAGACACAAAGACACGTTGATAGAGTGCAATTTTTAAGCTTTTCTAGTCAAACGTTTGTGGCGTGAAAATTACCGTTCGGACAGATAGACACCAGACTCGTTGATAGAGTGCACTTGCTTTTGGTCAAACGTTTGTGGCGTGAAAATTACCGTTCGGACAGATAGCACCAGACACGTTGATAGAGCGCACGGTTTCTTTTGTCAAACGTTTGTGGCGTGAAAATACCATTCGACAGATGGGCACCAGACACATTGATAGAGGTGCACTTGCGCTTCTAGTCAAACGTTTGTGGCGTGAAAAATTACCGTTCAGGACAGATAACATCAGACTCGTTGATAGACTTGTTTTAGTCAAGCTGAATGCCGTTCGGACAGATAGTTGATAGAGTGCTTGCTTTTGAACGTTTGTGGCGTGAAAAATTACCCTTCGGACAGATAGACACCAGACACGTTGATAGAGTGCACTTGCTTTTAGTCAAACGTTTGTGTCGTGAAAATTACCGTTCGTTCAGATACAGATAGACACTTCTAGTCAAACGTTTGTGGCAGTGCCCTTCGGACAGATAGACACCAGACTTACGTTGATAGAGTGCACTTGCTTTTAGTCAAACGTTTGTGGCGTGAATATTACCGTTCGGACGAATAGACACCAGACACGTTGATAGAGTGCACTTGCTTTTAATCAAACGTTTTGTGGCGTGAAATTACCCTTCGGACAGATGAACGACAGTCGAGACACCAGAAAATTACCCTTCGGACAGATAGACACCGAACACGTTGATAGAGGTGCACTTGCTTTTTTAGTCAAACGTTTGCGGCGTGAAAATTACCGTTCGACAGACAGACACCAGACACGTTGATAGAGCACTTGCTTTTAGTCAAACGTCTGTGGCGTGAAAATACTGTTCGGACAGATGAACACCAGACACGTTGATAGAGTGCGCACTTGCTTTTAGTCAAACGTTTGTGGCGAAAATTACCGTTCGGACAGATAGACACCAGACTCGTTGATAGAGTGCACTTGCTTTTAGTCAAACGTTTTGTGGCGTGAAAATTACCTTCGATGATAGACACCAGAGACGTTGATAGAGGCGCACTTGCTTCTAGTCAAACGTTTGTGGCGTGAAAATTACCGTTCGACAGATAGACACCAGACACGTTGATAGAGTGCACTGCTTTTTAGTCAAACGTTTGTGGCGTGAAAATAATGTTCGACAGATGAACATCAGACTCGTTGATAGAGTGCACTTGCTTCTAGTCAAACGTTTGTGGCGTGAAAAATTACCGTTCAGACAGATAGACACCAGACTCGTTGATAGAGTGCACTTGCTTCTAGTCTAACGTTTGTGGCGTGAAAATTACCGTTGGACAGATAGACACCGACTCGTTGATAGGGTGCACTTGCTTCTAGTCTAACGTTTGTGACGTGAAAATTACCGTTCGGACAGATAGACAATTGACTCGTTGATAGAGGTGCACTTGCTTCTGATTAACGTTTGCTTCTAGACACCAGACTCGTTGATAGAGGTGCACTTGCTTCTAGTCTAACGTTTGTGGCGTGAAAATTACCGTTCTGATAGACACCAGACTCTTTGATGACACCAGTCTCGTTTGAAAATTACCGTTCAGGACGAATGGAGCACCAGACTCGTTGATGAGTGCACTTGCTTCTGACGTTTGTGACGTGAAAAATTACCGTTCGGACAGATAGACACGTTGAGACGCACGTCTAACGTTTGTGATGAAAATTACCGTTCGGACAGATGAACACCAGACTCGTTGATGAAATTACTTCTAGTCTAACGTTTGTGGCGTGAAAATTACCGTTCGGACAGATAGACACCAGACTCGTTGATAGAGTGCAGTACTTGCTAACGTTTGTCGTGAAACGTTTGTGGACTCGTTGATAAGTACTTGCTTCTAGTCTAACGTTGGGCGTAGAAAATTACCGTTCGGATGAATGAACACCAGACTCGTTGATAGAGTGCACTTTTGCGTGAAAATTAGTTCTAACGTTTGATGAGTGCACTTGGTCTAAAAAATTACCGTTCGGACAGATAGACACCAGACTCGTTGATAGAGGCACTTGCTTCTAGTCTAACGTTTGTGGCGTGAAATTACCGTTCCGACGAATAGACACCAGACTCGTTGATGAGGTGCCTTTAATCAAACGTTTGTGGCGTGAATATTACCGTTCGGACGAATGAACGCAGACTCGTTGATAGAGCTTCCTGGTCCGCACGTTTGTGGCGTGAAAATTACCGTTCATTATGGTTGATAGAGTGCGCTTCTAGTCTAACGTTTGTGACGAAAATTACCGTTCGACAGATAGACACCAGACTCGTTGATAGAGTGCACTTTGCTTCTAGTCACCAACGTTTGTGACGTGAAAAATTACCGTTCGGACAGATGAGCTGAACTCGTTGATGACACCAGACTCGTTTGATAGAGATGCGCAGACTCGTTGATACGAGGTGCACTTGCTTCCAGTCAAACGTTTGTGACTGAAAAATTACCGTTCCGGACAGATAGACACCAGACTCGTTGATAGAGTGCACTTGCTTCTAGTCAAACGTTTGTGGCGTGAAAATTACCGTTCGGACAGATAGACCACCAGACTCGTTGATAGAGTGCACTTGCTTCAGTCTAACGTTTGTGACGTGAAAATTACCGTTCGGACAGATAGACGCGACAGATAGACACGCAGTCTAACGTTTGCGTGAATAGAGCGCAGACTCTTTGATGTTTCTGATCCCAACGTTTGTGACGAAAATACCGTTCGACAGATATCGCAGACTCGTTGATAGAGTGCGCCTGTCTGGCCCTAACATTTTGTGACGTGAAATTACCGTTCGGACAGATAGACACCAGACTCGTTGATAGAGTGCACTTGCTTCTAGTCTAACGTTTGTGACGTGAAATTACCGTTCGGACAGATAGACACCAGAGGCGGATAGAGTGCGCACTTGCTTCTAGTCTAACGTTTGTGGCGTGAAAATTACCGTTCGGACAGATAGGACAGATGAGACACCAGTCTAACGTTTGTGGCGTGAGTACCGTTCGGACAGATAGAACTCGTTGATAGAAATTGCACTTGCTTCTAGTCTAACGTTTGTGGCGTGAAAAATAACCTTCGGACAGATGGACACCAGACACGTTGATAGAGTGCACTTGCTTTTAGTCAAACGTTTGTGTCGTGAAAATTACCGTTCGGACAGATAGACATCGAACTCGTTGATAGAGTGCACTTGCTTTTGGTCAAACGTTTGTGGCGTGAAAATTACCCTTCGGTCAGATAGACACCAGACACGTTGATAGAGCGCACTTGCTTTTAGTCAAACGTTGTGGCGTGAATATTACCGTTCGGACGAATAGACACCAACACGTTGACACGTTTGATAGGACAGTGCGCAGGCACTTTTTTAGTCAAACGTTTGTGGCGTGAAAATTACCGTTCGGACAGATAGACATCAGGCACGTTGATAGAGGTGCACTTGCTTTTTTAGTCAAACGTTTGTGGCGTGAATGTTACCGTTCAGACAGATAGACGCCCAGACTCGTTGATAGAGAATTGCACTTGCTTTTAATCTAACGTTTGTGGCGTGAAAATTACCATTCGGACAGATGAAGATAGACACCAGCTTCTGAATCAACGTTTGACGTGAAAATTACCGTTCGGACAGATGAACGCCAGACTCGTTGATAGAGTGCCTTCTAGTCTAACGTTTGTGACGTGAAAATTACCGTTCGGAGAGATAGACACCAGACTCGTTGATAGAGTGCACTTTGCTTCTAGTCTAACGTTTGTGGCGTGAAAAATTACCGTTCGGACAGATAGACAGACTAGAGGTGCACTAGCGTTTGTGGCGTAAAAATTACCGTTCGATTGATGAAGTGCACTTTGTCTAACGTTTGTGGCGTAACCGTTCGGACCCAGATAGACGCAGACTTTGATAGAGTGCACTTGCTTCTAAAACGTTTGCGGTACTGCTCTGACAGATAGACACCCAGACTCGTTGATGAGTTGCACTTGCTTCTAGTCTAACGTTTGTGGCGTGAAATTACCGTTCGGACAGACAGATCGTTGAGACACCAGACTAACGTTTGATTAGACAGATAGACACCGAACTCGTTGATTGCGCGGCTAATCAAACGTTTGTGGCGTGAATATTACCGTTCGGACAGATAGACGCAGACTCAGGGGGTGCGCGCTTCTGGTCAACGTTTGATACGGTTCGGACGGATGCCCCAGACTCGTTGATAGGGTGCGCGCTGGTCTAACGTTTGTGGCGTGAAAATTACCGTTCCGGAGATAGACACCAGACTAACGTTTGAAAATTACCGTTCGGACAGACACCAGACTCGTTGGTGGTGCTTGCTTCTAGTCTAACGTTTGTGGCGTGAAAATTACCGTTCGGACAGATAGACGCAGACAAGAGTGCACTTGCTTCTAGTCTAACGTTTGTGACGTGAAGTACCGTTCGATAGACACCAGACTCGTTGAGTTGCACCCTTCTAGTCAAACGTTTGTGGCGAAATATTACCGTTCGGACAGATAGACACCAGACTCGTTGATAGAGTGCACTTCGTTCTGGTCTAACGTTTGTGACGTGAAAATTACCGTTCGGACAGATAGACGCAGACTCGTTGATGAGTGCACTCTGTTCTAGTCTAACATTTGACGTGAAAATTACCGTTCGGACAGATAGACACAGACTCGTTGATAGAGTGCACTTGCTTCTAGTCTAACGTTTGTGGCGTGAAAATTAATGTTCGGACAGATAGGACACCAGACTCGTTGGATAGAGTGCACTTGCTTCTAGTCTAACGTTTGTGGCGTGAAAATTACCGTTCGGACAAGATAGACACTCAGACCTGTTGATAGAGTGCACTTGCTTCTAGTCTAACTTGCGTTTGCCAAAATTACGTTTCAGACGAAAATTGCTTCTAGTTCGTTGACAGATTAGACACCAGACCTGTTGATAGAGTGCACTTTTGTGGCTTTAGAAGGGATAGAGTGCCTTGCTTCCTAACGTTTGGTGGCGTGAAATACCGTTCGGGCAGATAGACACCAGACTCGTTGATAGAGTGCACTTGCTTCCAGTCTAACGTTTGTGGCGTGACCATTACCCGTTCGGACAGATAGACTTTAGACTCGTTGATAGAGTGCTGTTTAGTCTAACGTTTGTGGCGTGAAAATTACCGTTCCGGACAGATAGACACCAAACTCTCGTTGATAGCGTGCGCACTTGCGTTTGTGGCGTGCAAATTACCGTTCGGTGAATAGACACCAGACTCGTTGATAAGGGTACTTGGAAAATTACCGTTCGGAGAGATGATAGACACCAGACTCGTTGGATAGCGTGCACTGTTTCAGTCTAACGTTTGTGACATGAAAATTACCGTTCGGACAGATAGACACCCAGACTCGTTGACAGAAAATTTTCTTAGTCTAACGTTTTGGCGGAAATTACCGTTCCGGACAGATAGACACCAGACACGTTGATAGAGTGCACTTGCTTCTAGTCTAACGTTTGTGACGTGAATATTAATGTTCGGGCAGATAGACACCAGACTCGTTGATAGAGTGCAACTTGCTTCCAGTCAAACGTTTGTGGCGTGCAAATTACCGTTCGGAGATATGGTACCAGACTCGTTGATAGAGTGCACTTGCTTCTAGTCTAACGTTTGTGACGTGAAAATTACCGTTCGGACAGATAGACACCAGACTCGTTGATAGCGTGCCTTGCTTCTGATCTAACGTTTGTGACGTGAAATTACCGTTCGGGAGAGATAGACACCAGACTCGTTGATAGAAGTACTTGCTTCTAGTCTAACGTTTGTGGCGTGAAAAGGTACCGTTCGCACGATATGCACCAGACTCTTTGATAGAGGTGCGCAGCTTCTGATCCCAACGTTTGTGGCGTGAAAATTACCGTTCGGACGAATGACGCAACTCGTTGATAGGGTGCGCTGCTTCTGAATCAAACGTTTTGTGACGTGAAAATTACCGTTCTGACAGATAGACACCAGACTCGTTGATAGAGTGCACTTGCTTCTAGTCTAACGTTTGTGCGTGAAAATTACCGTTCGGACAGATAGACACCAGACTCGTTGATAGAGGTGCACTTGCTTCTAGTCTAACGTTTGTGGCGTGAAATTACCGTTCGGACAGATAGACGCCAGACTCGTTGATGATAGAGTGCACTTGCTTCTGGTCTAACGTTTGTGGCGTGAAAATACCGTTCGGACAGATGGGCACCAGACTCGTTGATAGAAATGCACCTTCTGTCTAACGTTTGTGGCGTGAAAATTACCGTTCGGACGAGATGAACACCAGACTCGTTGATAGAAATTGCACTTGCTTCTAGTCTAACGTTTGTGGCGTGAAAATTACCGTTCGACAGATAGACACAGACTCGTTGATAAGTGCACTTGCTTCTAGTCTAACGTTTGTGGCGTAAAATTACCGTTCGCACAGATAGACGCAGACTCACGTTGATGGGGGTGCACTTGCTTCTAGTCTAACGTTTGTGGCGTGAAAATTACCGTTCGGACAGATGAACACCAGACTCGTTGATAAAATTGCACTTGCTTCTAATCTAACGTTTGTGACTAAGCCCGTTCGGATGAATGACGCAGACTCGTTGATAGAGTGCACTTGCTTCTAGTCTAACGTTTGTGGCGTGAAATTACCGTTCGGACAGATGAACACCAGACTCGTTGATAGAGTGCGCTTGCTTCTAGTCTAACGTTTGTGGCGTGAAAATTACCGTTCGGACAGATAGACACCAGACTCGTTGATAGAGGTGCACTTGCTTCTAGTCTAACGTTTGTGGCGTGAAAATTACCGTTCGGACGAATGGGCACCAGAACTCGTTGATAAAGTGCACTTGCTTCCTAGTCTAACGTTTTTGGCGTGAAAATTACCGTTCGGACAGATGAACACCAGACTCGTTGATAGAGGTGCACTTGCTTCTGAATCAAACGTTTGTGGCGTGAAAATTACCGTTCGGACAGATAGACACCAGACTCGTTGATAGAGTGCACTTCTTCTAGTCTAACGTTTGTGACGTGAAAATTACCGTTCGGACAGATAGACGCAGACTCGTTGATGGAGAGTGCGCGCTTCTGGTCTAACGTTTGCTTCTCGGATGGGCAGACTCGTTGATAACGGTCAAACGTTGTGGCGTGAATATTACCGTTCGGACAGATAGACGCCAGACTCAGACTCGTTTGTGGCGTATTACCGTTCGGGCAGATGCACTCGTTGCTTCCTGGTCTAACGTTTGTGGCGTGAAATTACCGTTCGGACAGATAGACACCAGACTCGTTGATAGAGTGCACTGCTTCCTGGTCTAACGTTTGGCGTGAAGAAACCGTTCTGACAGATAGACACCAGACTCGTTGATAGAGTTGCACTTGCTTCTAGTCGCGTTTGTGACGTGAAAATTACCGTTCGGACAGATAGACACCAGACTCGTTGATGCCACTTGCTTCTAGTCAAACGTTTGTGGCGTGAAAATTACCGTTCGGACAGATAGACACCGAGACTCGTTGATAGAGTGCACTTGCTTCTAGTCCCCAAACGTTTGCTGACGTGAAAATTACCGTTCGGACAGATAGACGCAGACTCGTTATTAAGGTGCGCTTGCTTCCTGGTCAACGTTTGTGGCGTGAAAATTACCGTTCGGACAGATAGACACCAGACTCGTTGATAGAGTGCGCGCTAGTCTAACGTTTGTGACGTGAAAATTACCGTTCGGACAGATAGACGCACCAGACTCGTTCTATCTAGTTTGGCGTGAAAATTACCGTTCGGACAGACACCAGACTCGTTGCTGGTTTGCTTCTATCTAACGTTTGTGGCGTGACTGAAATTACCGTTCGGACAGATAGACACAGACTCGTTGATAGAGTGCACTTGCTTCTAGTCTAACGTTTGTGACGTGAAATTACCGTTCGGACAGATAGACACCAGACTCATTTGATAGAGGTGCACTTGCTTCTAGTCAAACGTTTGTGGCGTGAAAATTACCGTTCGGACAGATGAACATCAGACTCGTTGATAGAGTGCGCAGCTAGTCTTCGTTTGTGACGTGAAATTGCGTTTGGGCAGAATGACGTGAAAATTACCGTTTGTGGCGGGCGATTCGGACAGATAGACGCAGACTCGTTGATAAGTGCACTTGCTTCTGGTCTAACATTTGTGGCGTGAAAAAATTACCGTTCGGACAGATAGACGCAGACTCTTTGATAGAGTGCACTTGCTTCTAGTCTAACGTTTGTGACGTGAAAATTACCGTTCGGACAGATAGACACCAGACTCGTTGATAGAGTGCACTTGCTTCTTAACGTTTGTGGCGTGCAAATTACCGTTCGGACAGATAGACACCAGACTCGTTGATAGAGTGCACTTGCTTCTAGTCTAACGTTTGTGACGTGAAAATTACCGTTCGGGCAGATAGACAGACTCGTTGACACGTGCACTTCTAGTCTAACGTTTGTGGCGGGCAAATTACCGTTCGGACAGATAGACACCAGACTCGTTGATTACAGTCTAACGTTTGTGACGTGAAAATTACCGTTCGGACAGAGAGACAATAGACTCGTTTGATAGAGTGCACTTGCTTCTAGTCTAACGTTTGTGACGTGAAATTACCGTTCGGGCAGATAGACACCAGACTCGTTGATAGAGTGCACTTGCTTCTAGTCTAACGTTTGTGGCGAAAATTACCGTTCGGACAGATAGACACCAGACTCGTTGATGAAGTGCACTTTGCTTCTAGTCTAACGTTTGTGACGTGAAAATTACCGTTCCGGGCAGATAGACACCAGACTCTCGTTGATAGAGTGCGCTTGCTTCTTCGTTTGTGGCGTGCAAATTACCGTTCGGACGAATAGACACCAGACTCGTTGATAATAGGTACGCGTGAAAATTACCGTTCGGACAGATATAGACACCAGACTCGTTGATAGCGTGCGCACTTGCTTTAGTCTAACGTTTGTGACGTGAAATTACCGTTCGGACAGATAGACACCAGACTCGTTGATAGAGTGCACTGGCTTCTAGTCTAACGTTTGTGGCGTGAAAAATTACCCTTCGGACAGATAGACAGTGCGGTTACCAGTCTAACGTTTGAGCGTTGATAGACACCAGAGTTGATAAGTGCACTTGCTTCTAGTCTAACGTTTGTGACGTGAAAAATTACCCTTCGGACAGATAGACACCAGACTCGTTGATAGAGTGCACTTGCTTCCTAGTCTAACGTTTGTGGCGTGAAAATTACCGTTCGGACAGATAGACGCAGACTCGTTGATAGAGTGCACTTGCTTCTAGTCTAACGTTTGTGACGTGAAAATTACCGTTCGGACAGATAGACACCAGACTCGTTGATAGCGTGCCTTGCTTCTAGTAACGTTTGTGACGTGAAAATTACCGTTCGGGACAGATAGACACCAGACTCGTTGATAGAGTGCACTTGCTTCTAGTCTAACGTTTGGCGTGAAAATTACCGTTCGGACGAATAGACGCAGACTCGTTGATAGGTGCACTTGCTTCTAGTCTAACGTTTGTGGCGTGAAAATTACCGTTCGGACAGATGGACATCAGACTCGTTGATAGAGTGCACTTGCTTCCAGTCAAACGTTTGTGGCATGAAAATTACCCTTCGGACAGATGACACCAGACTCGTTGATAGAGTGCACTTGCTTCTAGTCTAACGTTTGTGGATGAAAATTACCGTTCGGACAGATAGACACCAGACTCGTTGATAGAGTGCGCCTTCCTAGTCTAACGTTTGTGGCGTGAAAATTACCGTTCGGACAGATAGACAACAGACTCGTTGATAAGAGCACTTCTGCTAACGTTTGGCGTGAAAATTACCGTTCGGACGAATGTTGGCACCAACTCGTTTGTGACGTGAAATTACCGTTCCGGACAGATGGGCCTGGCTCGATGGTGCAAACGTTTGTGGCGTGAATATTACCGTTCGGACAGATAGACACAGACACGTTGATAGAGTGCATTAAGCTTCCAGTCAAACGTTTGTGGCGTTAATACCGTTCGGACAGATAGAACCAGACTCGTTGATAGGTGCGCCTTCTGCTTCCAAATTACCGTTCGGACAAACGTCGTTGATGCGTGCGTCACCAGTTCAATGAACTTGAGACTCGTTGATACAGTGCGCACTTGCTTTAGTCTAACGTTTGTGGCGTGAAAATTACCGTTCGGACAGATAGACGCAGACTCGGTGACAGGTGCACTGCATCAGGCGCGTGAAATACCGTTCAGTCAAATATTTAGAGTGACGTGAAAATTACCTCGGACAGATAGAACCAGAACTTCGTTAATAGAGTGCACTGTTTCAGTCAAACGTTTGGCGTGAATATTACCCTTCGAAAATTACCGTTGATAGAGTGCGGACACGTGAAAATTACCGTTCGACAGATTAGACGCAGACTCGTTGATAGAGTGCACTTGCTTCCAGTCCGACATTTGTGACGTGAAAATTACCGTTCGGACAGATAGACACTAGACTCGTTGATAGGAGTGCACTTGCTTCAGTCTATCGTTTGGTGACGAAAAATTACCGTTCGGACAGAGGACACCAGGACTTGCTGATAGAGTGCACTCTTCTAGTCTGACGTTTGTGGCGTGAAATTCACTTTTCGGACAGATAGACAACAGACTCGTTGATAGAGTACTTGCTTCCAGTCAAACGTTTGTGACGGAAAATTAATTGTTCGACAGATAGACGCAGACTCGTTGATACTTGCTTCTGACTCGTTGATAACGTTTGTGAAAAGTACCGTTCGGACAGATAGCTTCGTTGATAGAGTGCACTGGCAAATCAAACGTTGTGGCGTGAATATTACCGTTCGGACGAATAGACTTCAGACTCGTTATTAAGTGCACTTGCTTCTAGTCTAACGTTTTGTGGCGTGAAATTACCGTTCGGACAGATGAACACCAGACTCGTTGATAGATGCACTTGCTTCCAGTCAAACGTTTGTGGCGATGAAAATTACCGTTCGGACAGATAGACGCCAGACTCGTTGATAAGTGCACTTGCTTCTAGTCGCGTTTGTGACGTGAAAATTACCGTTCGGACAGATAGACACCAGACTCGTTGATGAAATTGCACTTGCTTCTGAGTCAACGTTTGTGGCGTGAAAATTACCGTTCGGACGAATAGACGCAGACTCGTTGATAGAGTGCACTTGCTTCTAGTCCCCAACGTTTGCTGACGTGAAAATTACCGTTCGGACAGATAGACGCAGACTCGTTATTAAGTGCACTTCTTCCTAGTCTAACGTTTGTGGCGTGAATATTACCGTTCGGACAGATAGACACCAGACTCGTTGATAGAGTGCGCCTTCTAGTCTAACGTTTGTGACGTGAAAAGTTACCGTTCGGACGAGATGGAGCACACCGTTGTTGAGACTCAAACGTTGATACCGTTCGGTTGAATAGACACCAGACTCGTTGATAAGTGCGCCTTCTATCTAACGTTTGTGACGTGAAAATTACCGTTCGGACAGATAGACACCAGACTCGTTGATAAGTGCACTTGCTTCTAGTCTAACGTTTGTGACGCGTGAAATAGACCGTTCGTTGATGAATGAACACCAGCTTCATTTGATAGACCGTTCACTTGACACCAGACTCTTCTAGCCCGTTTGTGGCGTGAAAATTACCGTTCGGACAGATAGACATCAGACTCGTTGATAGAGTGCGCAGCTAGTCTAACGTTTGTGACGTGAAATTGCGTTCGGGCAGAATGGACACCAGACTCGTTGATGAGGTGCACTTGCTTCTAGTCTAACGTTTGTGACGTGAAAATTACCGTTCGGACAGATAGACACCAGACTCGTTGATAAGTGCACTTGCTTCTGGTCTAACGTTTGTGGCGTGAAAATTACCGTTCGGACGGATAGACGCCAGACTCGTTGATAGGTGCCCTTGCTTCTAGTCTATCGTTTGTGACGTGAAAATTACCGTTCGGACAGATGGGCGCAGACTCGTTGATAGAGTGCCTTGCTTCTAGTCTAACGTTTGTGGCGTGAAAATTACCGTTCGGACAGATAGACACCAGACTCGTTGATGAAAGTGCACTTGCTTCTAGTCTAACGTTTGTGGCGTGAAAATTACCGTTCGGACAGATAGACACCAGACTCGTTGATAGCGTGCACTTCTTCTAGTCTAACGTTTGTGGCGTGCAAATTACCGTTCGGACAGATAGACACCAGACTCGTTGATAGAGTGCACTTGCTTCTAGTCTAACGTTTGTGGCGTGAAAATTACCGTTCGGACGAATGAACACCAGACTCGTTGATAGCGTGCACTTGCTTCTAATCAAACGTTTGTGGCGTGAATATTACCGTTCGGACAGATAGACACCAGACTCGTTGATAGAGCGCACTTGCTTCTAGTCTAACGTTTGTGGCGTGAAAATTACCGTTCGGACAGATAGACACCAGACTCGTTGATAGAGTGCACTTTGCTTCTAGTCTAACGTTTGTGGCGTGAAAATTACCGTTCGGACCGATAGACACCAGACTCGTTGATAGAGTGCGCTTGCTTCTAGTCTAACGTTTGTGGCGATGCAAATTACCGTTCGGACGGGCGAACACCAGACTCGTTGATAGATTGCACTTGCTTCTGATCTAACGTTTGTGACGTGAAAATTACCGTTCGGACAGATAGACACCAGACTCGTTGATAGCGTTACTTGCTTCTAGTCTAACGTTTGTGACGTGAAATTACCGTTCGGAGAGATAGACACCAGACTCGTTGATAGAGTGCGCGCTTCTAGTCTAACGTTTGTGGCGTGCAAATTACCATTCGGATAGACGCAGACTCGTTGATGAGAGTGCGGTTATTTCCTAGTCTAACGTTTGAGCGTGAAAATTACCGTTCGGACAGATAGACACCAGACTCGTTGATAAGTGCGCTGCTTCTAGTCTAACGTTTGTGGCATGAAAATTACCCTTCGGACAGATGAACACCAGCAGACTCGTTGATGGCGTGCACTTGCTTCCTAGTCTAACGTTTGTGACGTGAAATTACCGTTCGGACAGATAGACGCAGACTCGTTGATAGAGTGCGCTTGCTTCTAGTCTAACGTTTGTGGCGTGAAAATTACCGTTCGGACAGATGAACACCAGACTCGTTGATAGAAATTACTTGCTTCTAGTCTAACGTTTGTGGCGTGAAAATTACCGTTCGGGCAGATAGACACCAGACTCGTTGATAGAGAATTGCACTTGCTTCTGATTAACGTTTGCGACGTGAAAAGTACCGTTCGGACAGATAGACGCAGACTCTGTTGATAGGTGCGCTTGCTTTTCGTCAAACGTTTGTGGCGTGAATATTACCGTTCGGACGAATGGGTGCAGACTCGTTGATAGAGTGCACTTGCTTCCAGTCAAACGTTTGTGGCGTGAAATTACCGTTCGGACAGATGAACGCAGACTCGTTGATGAGTGCACTTGCTTCACAGATCTAACGTTTGTGGCGTGCAAATTACCGTTCGGACAGATAGATACAGACTCGTTGATAGAGTGCAATTGCTTCAGTCTAACGTTTGTGGCGTGAAAATTACCGTTCGGAGAGATAGACACCAGACTCGTTGATAGAGTGGTCTAACGTTTGCTGACGAATGGGCAAACTCGTTTGGGGCGTGAATACGTTTGTGGCGTGAAATTACCGTTCGGACAGATGAACACAGACACGTTGATGAGTGCGCTTCTTTAACGTCAAATAATACCGTTCGGACAGATGGCGCAGACTCGTTGATAGGTGCTGTTCGGACAAACGTTTGGCGTGGTCTTGCCTTCGGAGACTCTCGGTGATAAGAGTGCACTTGCTTCCAGTCAAATATTTGTGACGTGAAAATTACCGTTCGGACAGATGAACTTCCAGACTCGTTAATAGAGTGCGCGTTTCCAGTCAGAAACGTTTGTGACGTGAAAGTACCGCGGACAGAGTGACGCAGACTCGTTGATAGAGTGCGCATACTAGTCTAACATTTAGCGAGCACGTGAAAATTAAGTTCGGACAGATAGACACCAGACTCGTTGATAGAGTTACGCGCTTCTGATCCTCGTTGTTGACGTGAAAATTACCGTTCGGACAGATGAACACCGAACTCGTTGATAGAGTGCACTTCCTTCTAGTCTGACGTTTGTGGCGTGAAAATTGCCCTTCGGACGAATGAACACCAGACTCGTTGATAGAAGTGCGCAGCGAATCAAACGTTTGTGACGTGAAACTACCGTTCGGACGAAGATGAACGCCAGACTGGTTGATAGGTGCACCTTCTGAATCTAACATTTGTGACGTGAAAATACCGTTCGGACAGGTGGGCACCAGACTCGTTGATAGGTGCACTTTGGCACAGTCAAGCGTTTGTGACGTGAAAATTACCCCTCGACAGATGAACACCAGACTCTTTGATAGAGTGCACTTGCTTCTAGTAGAAACGTTTGGAACGACAATTACCCTTCGGACAGATAGACACCAGACTCCGGGTTGATAGAGCAAAATTGTTTCCAGTCTAACGTTTGGCAAGTGTGAATATTACCCTTCGACAGATAGACACCAGATACGTTGATACAGTGCACTTGCTTTTAGTCTAACGTTTGTGACGTGAATATTACCGTTCGGGCAGATAAACACCAGACTCGTTGATAGAGTGCACTTGCTTCCAGTCAAACGTTTGTGGCGTGAGAATTACCCTTCGACAGATAGACACCAGAGGTATTAGGGAAAGTGCCGTTCGGACATGATGGACAGACACCAGACACGTTGATAGAGTGCACTTGTTTCAAAACGTTCCAGACTAAAATCATCTTTGTATAGGACGTTAATAGAATTGCAGTCTGACGTTTGTGGCGGAAATTACCTTCGGAATGGACACAGACTCTCGTTGATAGAATTACGCACTTCCAGTCAAACGTTTCCAGACGTGCGAAAATACCTTCGGACAGATAGACACCAGACTCGTTGATAGAGTGAATTTGTTGCACTTGCTTTTACAGATAGACAAACGTTTGAGGCGTGTCAAAGGTTTGTGGCCGAAGACACCTTCGGACAGATAGACACCAGACTCGTTGATAGAGTGCACTTGTTTCTAGTCTAACGTTTTGTGACGTGAAAATTACGTTCGGACGTTAGACACCAGACTCGTTAATAGAGTTACACTTTGCTTCCTAGTCTAACGTTTCTGGCGTGAAAATTACCCTTCGGACAGATAGACACCAGACTCGTTGATAGAGTGCACTTGTTTCCAGTCAAACGTTTGTGACGTGAAAATTACCGTTCGGACAGATAGACACCAGAGTCGTTGATAGAGTGCACTTGCTTCCCAGTCAAAAGTTTGGGGCGTGAATATTACCCGCTTCGGACAGATAGACGCAGACTCGTTAATGGGGTGCGCTTGCTTTTAGTCTAACGTTTGTGGCGTAATATTACTGTTCGGACAGATGAACCAGACTCGGTGATAGAGTGCACTTGCTTCAAATATTTCACGAATGGGTAATATTAATCCGCACTTGTTTCCAGTCAATGAGGTACCCTTCGGACAGATAGACACCAGACTCGTTAATAGAGTGACGTAGTCAAACGTTTGCCTTCGACAGATAGACACCAGACTCGTTGATAGTGTGCACTACTGCTTTTAGTCAACGTTTTGTGACGTGAAATTACGTTCGGACAGATAGACACCAGACTCGTTGATAGAGTGCACTTGTTTCTAGTCTAACGTTTGTGGCGGAAATTACCCTTCGGACAGATAGATACCAGCAGACTCGTTGATAGAGTGCAATTTGCTTCCAGTCAAATGTTTGTGATGCGAAAATTACCGTTCGGACAGATATATCAGAGTCGTTGATGGAGTGCACTTGCTTCCAGTCAAACGTTTTGAAAAATTAATTTGGATAGATAGACATCAGACCTGTATAGAGTGCCTTGCTTCGAGTCTAACGTTTGTGACAATATTATCGTTCGGACAGATAGACGCCGGACACGTTGATACAGTGCGCAAACTTGCTTTTAGTCTAACGTTTGTAGAATATTACCTTCGGACAAGATAGAACCAGAACTCGGTGATAGAGTGCACTTGCTTAGTCAAACGTTTGTGGCGTGAAAATTACCGTTCGACAGATAGAAAATAGAGTGCACCTTTAGTAGAACGTTCGGACGAAAATTAGACAGATAGACAGACTCGTTGATAGAGTGCACTTGTTTCCAGTCAAACGTTTGTGGCGTGAAAATTACCCTTCGACAGATAGACACCAGACTCGTTGATACAGTGCACTTGTTTTAGTCAAACGTTTGTGACGTGAATATTACCGTTCGTATGGACACCAGACTCGTTGATAGAGTGCACTTGCTTCTAGTCAAACGTTTGTGACGTGAAGATTACCGGACAGATAGACACCAGACTCGTTGATAGAGTGCACTTGCTTCCAGTCAAACGTTTGTGACGTGAAAATTACCTTCGGCAGAGACACCAGAATCGTTGATAGAGTGCACTTGCTTCTAGTCAAACGTTTGTGACGTGAAAATTACGTTCGGACAGATAGACACCAGACATGTTGATAGAGTGCACTTGCTTCTAGTCAAACGTTTGTGACGTGAAAATTACCGTTCGGACAGATAAACACCAGACTCGTTGATAGAGTGCACTTGCTTCCAGTCAAACGTTTGTGACGTGAATATTACCCTTCGGATAGACACCAGACAGATAGACACCAGACCAGTCTTTGATAAAATTGCCCTTCGGACAGATAGACAAGACGTTGATAGAGTGACTTGTTTCCCAGTCAAACGTTTGTGATTTACCCTTTGGACAGATAGACACCAGACTCGTTGATAGAGTGCACTTGCTTCTAGTCTAACGTTTGTACGTGAAATTACCCTTCGACAGATAGAAAGACACGTTGATAGAGGGCACTTTGCTTGTAGTCAAACGTTTGTGGCGTGAAAGATACAGATAGACACCAGACCTGTTGATAGAGTGCACTTGCTTCTGGTCTAACGTTTGTGACGTGAAAATTACCAGTTCGGACAGATAGACACCAGACTCGTTGATAGAGTGCACTTGCTTCCAGTCAAACGTTTGTGGCGTGAATATTACCCTTCGGACAGATAGACACCAGACACGACAGGTTGATAAACGTTTGTGGCGTGAATATTACTTTCCAGATAGACACCAGACTCGGTGATAGAGTGACTTGCTTCCAGTCAAACGTTTGTGACGTGAAAATTACCCTTCGGACAGATAGACACCAGACTCGTTGATAGAGTGCACTTGTTTCCAGTCAAACGTTTGTGACGTGAAAAAACCCTTCGGACAGATAGACACCAGACGATAGAGTGCACTTGCTTGAACGTTTGTGACGTGAATATTACCGTTCGGACAGATAGACACCAGACACTTTGATAGAACTTTGCAGTCTAACGTTTGTGACGTGAATATTACCGTTCGGACAGATAGACACCAGACTCGTTGATAGAGTGCACTTGCTTCTAGTCAACGTTTGTGGCGTGAAAATTACCCTTCGGACAGATAGACACCAGACTCGTTGATAGAATTCACTTCCTTCCAGTCAAACGTTTGTGACGTGAAAATTACCGTTCGGACAGATAGACACCAGACTCGTTGATAGAGTGCACTTGCTTCTAGTCTAACGTTTGTGACGTGAAAATTACCGTTCGGACAGATAGACACCAGACTCGTTGATAGAGTGCACTTGCTTCCAGTCAAAGGTTTGTGGCGTGAATATTACCCTTCGGACAGATAGACACCAGACACGTTGATACAGTGCACTTGCTTTTAGTCAAACGTTTGTGGCGTGAATATTACCGTTCGGGCAGATAGACACCAGACTCGTTGATAGAGTGCACTTGCAAACGTTTGTTTCCACAGATAGACAAACTCGTTGATAGAGTTTGTGAAATATTTCCAGAAAATTACCCTTCGGACAGATAGACACCAGACTCGTTGATAGAGTGCACTTGTTTCTAGTCTAACATTTGTGACGTGAAAATTACCCTTCGGACAGATAGACACCAGACTCGTTAATAGAGTGCACTTTGCTTTTTAGTCTAACGTTTGTGACGTGAATATTACCGTTCGGACAGATAGACACCAGACTCGTTGATAGAGTGCACTTGCTTCCAGTCAAACGTTTGTGACGTGAAAATTACCGTTCGGACAGATAGACACCATAGACTCGTTGATAGAGTGCAACTTGCTTCGTAAAATCAAACGTTTGGGACGTGAAAATTACCCTTCGGACAGATAGACACCAGACTCGTTGATAGAGTGCACTTGTTTAGTCAAAACGTTTGTGGCGTGAATATTACTTCGGACAGATAGACACCAGACACGTTGATAGAGTGCACATTTTAGTCAAACGTTTGTGGCGTGAATATTACCGTTCGGACAGATAGGACACCAGACTCCGTTGATAGAGTGCACTTGCTTCCAGTCAAACGTTTGTGACGTGAATTACCCTTCGACAGATAGACACCAGACTCGTTGATAGAGTGCACTTGCTTCGAGTCAAACGTTTGTGACGTGAAAATTACCCTTCGGACAGATAGACACCAGACTCGTTGATAGAGTGCACTTGCTTCTAGTCTAACATTTGTGACGTAGATTTTCGGACAGATAGACACCAGACTCGTTGATAGAGTGCACTTCCAGTCCAACGTTTGTGACGTGAAAATTACCCTTTGGTCAGATAGACACCAGACTCGTTGATAGAGTGCATTGCTTCCTCAAACGTTTGTGGCGTGAATATTATCCTTCGGACAGATAGACACCAGACACGTTGATAGAGTGCACTTGCTTTTAGTCAAACGTTTGTGACGTGAAAATTACCGTTCGGACAGATAGACACCAGACACGTTGATAGAGTGCACTTGTTTTTAGTCAAACGTTTGTGGCGTGAAAATTACCCTTCGTCGATAGACACCAGACACGTTGATAGAGTGCACTTGCTTTAGTCAAACGTTTGTGGCGTGAAAATTACCGTTCGGACAGATAGACACCAGACTCGTTGATAGAGTGCACTTGCTTCTAGTCAAACGTTTGTGGCGTGAATATTACCCTTCGGACAGATAGACACCAGACACGTTGATAGAGTGCACTTGCTTTAGTCAAACGTTTGTGACGTGAAAATTACCGTTCGGACAGATAGACACCAGACACGTTGATAGAGTGCACTTGCTTTTTCAAACGTTTGTGGCGTGAATATTACCGTTCGACAGATAGACACCAGACACGTTGATAGAGTGCACTTGCTTTAGTCAAACGTTTGTGG